GTGGGGCTCATAAACAGCAGAAAAAAAAAAGACGGAGGCGAGGAAGAGAGAGGTTTGCTGAGTTCACTAGGGAAAGGGAGAGAATTGGGCTACAGAGAAGGCCTTATATTGCGAGGTGTTTTTTTTAGATAGGCTGAACTGAGTGATAACAAGAAGGGAGCATGGCGGTCCATGTTTCCCTTGAAGAAGGAAGAAAAGTCTTAGGGTAGAAGGTGAAGTGTTTTCCTCAGGTGGCCACTAGGTGGTAGCATTGGCCTAGGTCAGCTTAATGATTAATACCTGTGGTTCGTTTGTATGGTTTACTCACAAATTAGGTGTTTATAAATCATGACTGCTTTCTTCCTTTTTTTTTTAAACTAAAACTTGCACTCGAGTGAGAGGTCTAAGTTCTTATTTTTAAAAACAAAGGCGTGGAATAACCTTAACACTTTCTTTTATCAAAATGGAGATGCAGTGCTTTCTATCTATCTAATGGAAAAGAATGTGCCCCTCTCCCTTCTCTCTGTGGTTCATGGGCTTGTGAAAGAACAGAGTTCCCCAGATCAGCGTGTAGACCCTTAGGAAATAAAGCATCGCCTCTTCCCTGTCTCCGGCTCCAAGTCAGGCAAGGAGCCCAGAGGGGACGGAGGTGGGTGTCCCACATGCCCGGGGTGTGGCATTCTGTGGCAGTGTGCTCCTGCTTCTGTGTCCATTGAGTTTGTAGAGCAGCTCAAAGGTTTATCACATATCTATAACTACCTTTTAACCTTAGCAAGCTGTCTTTATTAAAAGGAATAAAATTTTAAGAAACAGAACACGTATCTGTAAGGTGTTTGAAATCAGCATTGCCTACAAAATCCAGAATCTACAGTCAGCACGTGATGGCATTAGAAGCTTAACATTGTTAATAAAATGCCTTTTACTCTGTACCTGGTATGTGTCCTCCGCTGTGTAGGTCCTACACGTGTGCTAACCCTAATGCTTATAGCAGGTATTGGGCCCCTGCTGTGCACTAAGTGAGATGTTGCCTCTTTCTATCATGTCTTGCAAGTATAATCTTTGATTAAAAGATTATACAGTAGAACCTCTTTTGTTATTGTGCAAAACGGATTCTAAAGCTGTAACTTTGATTTTTTAAAAATATGCACAGAACAAGCTTGGCTTCTATGTTGTAAAATGCATCAGCTACAGCTGTAATCATTTGTGGTTGGAGGGGCCAGTGTGTTCCTGGTTGGGTTGTGGCTTTGTTTAGAATTAAGAGGCTTATAAAGGAAGCCATAGAAAGAAACCCTGAGCTCCCCAATTGCTATGGTACAGGAAATAGGGCAGTTAGTCAGTGTCCATTGTTGTCCTGACCAGATTGTTTAAGATATAATTTCAAGACAATCCGAAAACACCACGTGGCTCAATTATGTGGTTATTCAACATCAGACTTGCTCTTATCAAGGTTTGCTTTAGGAACAATTGTGGGAAGAACATTTCTGCAACTTTCATGAAATACCTGTTTATGACATTGTCGTTAGGTTCCAAGTTGTCTATGTAACAGAGATCGATGCGAGGAGGAAAAAGGATGTCCCTCCTGAGTTGCTGGTCTAGTTTATTTTGTCAGCTGGCTACATGACTGTCCTGGGGAGCACCATTAACCATGGTTAAGTTAATAAGTCCCACCAGTACCCACGCTGGCGCTAGCGACGCAGAGCTGCTCAGATGAGGAGCAGTTTGAACATCACTCCTGCAACTGGCTTGTCAGCCATGTGACTTTCGTTTGGAAGCTCCTGTTTGTAATCGCCTTTGATTTTTTTCTGTCCAGAGTCGTGTTGTGATTAGCTGTCAGTTTTAGCTGCTCTCAGGAACTGCCTGACTCTTTCACATGCACGAATGGCTCAGATTCCACAAAATCTGTATTCTAATTCTGACCATCCGAAACACACTCTGAGGTTCTCCGAAAACCCACTCCTCTAGCGGTAGACTGCCTGGTCCTTCCTCTGAGGCCTTCTCAAAGGGAGCGGCATTCTGTGCCACACCCCAAGATGCTGAATCACCATCTACGGGTGGGGCCAGGACAGGCGTATTTTTTAAAAGCTCCCCAGGTCATTCTGATATGCACTCCCACTAAGAACCACACTTGTAGTGGCTCTATTGTATCTTTCCAAAAAAAAAAAAAATTTTAACCCATCTGAAATTCTTAGACAAGGACCAAACAATAAATTTGACATTTTAAATTCAACGTGGTTAAAGCATCGTGGAACCCATTTGTTGTCTTTCGATAACTTTTGGTATTACTCAGGAAATGCATTCCTGCTTCTGATGACATTTTCATTGGAAAGGGCAAGGTGGAGGTGTGGGGTGGGTGGAATTTTGTAAGTGACTGAATGTTTCCTTCCACTGCCGGTCCCGGGAATTTTTCCGTTAATATTTGAGATTCCCTATCCCTATCTACAAGGAAGGGAGGTTCACCAGGAGCTCCTTCAATAGGCAAAGGGCCTAAGTGCACCGTTCTCTCCCGGATGTGTCTCCTACACGGCTTTCATTCTCTTTGTGTTGTCGCTTCCTGAAGCTAAACTGCGCCTCTGTGGTTCCCTGAGATTGATTCTCAGGCCTCCATTCTGCTTTGTCCCCGTCCTTTCCTTGCCACCGATTCCCAAATCTGGATCTCAGGCCCTGCCCTGAGGTTTGGTGCTGCTTTTCCAGTTATCTGTGACGTGCCCCTCACGGTGTGGACCCTGCATCAGCAGCTGCGGCATCACCTGGGAGACTGAGCAATGCCCACTCAGGCCCCACGCAGACCTACTTGAATCTGAGTCTGCATCTTAACAAGATCCCCAAGCCATCTGTGTGCACGTTAGTGTCAGGAGCGCTGGTCTGCGGGATATCCCCACGTCGCATCCTGATATCCCATCCTTCTCTCCTGCCTGCTCCCACCAACCCAAGTTTGTCTATCAGGTTGAACTGTTTTTCCAGACTGTACATCTTGGCTTCATTTTCATTTCGTTCTTCCTTTCACTCATTGATTCATTCAGATGTTTATTGACTGCCTGCCAGAGCACGGTGCTGGAGACTCGGTGAGCAAAACCAGACTGAGTTCCTACACTCGTGAAGCTCAGCTTCTAGTGACAGAAGCAGCTATTAAATATGTCGTTAGTTATAAGTGTGAAATCACGATGAGCACTGTAGAAGAGAGCCTATAGCACGAATATGAGTATTAGGGACAGCAGGGAAGGCTTCCCTGAGGAAGTGATGCTTGTGCTGAGCCCTGGGGCCTGAATAGAAGTTAATCAGGTGGAGAGGGGCAGAAAGCTTTCCAGCAGAAGGAATGGCATGTGCAAAGGCCCAGCTCATCACAGAACGTTTGTAGAGCGTTAATAAAAAAGAACATTAAATTGCTCTTAAGTCCTTCATCTTTATCTGCTCTTCTGCCCAACCTTGTCAGCTTTACCCCTGCTCCACTCCCTGAGCTGAGGAGCTGGCCGAGAACTTGGCCCTCGCACCTGCATGACGTGAGCGTGTGCTCAGCTGCACACCTTTCCGGTCTTTTAGTCTAGCGCTCCACAATTGAATTCACTAGTAAACCACTTTCCTTGCTGTTCCCTGAATATACCGTGGTCAGATTTTAAACTGCCCTCTAATTCCCTCTTCACACGTGTATTTGTTTTTAAGTACATTGAAAGGTACTTAAATGTATTTTTTAAGTGCTTAAAATGTGCTTAAAATATACGTCTTAAGATATTGAAATACACATACAGAAAAGCGCACAAATCGTAATGTAGAGCTTGATGAATTTTCAGTGACTACGTCAGTGTCATTAGCAACCCAATCAAGAGAAAGAATATTATAAGCATTCAGAAGATCCCTGTGTACCCCTTCGCCCCATCACTACACCCAGAGGTGACCACTATCCTTGTATTGTATTGTCTTGTATTAGCATTGATTAGGTTTGCCCATACCTGAACTTGATGTAAATGGATTCACGCTATAGGTAAGCTGTTGTGTCTGCTGCTTTTGCTCAGCATTAACGTTAGAGGAGTTCATTCATGTTGTTGCCTGTAACAGTTGTTCCTTTATTGCGTTTGCTGTGTGCTCATGCATGGTATGACTGTATCACAATGTATCCATCCTGTTGATGGGCATTTTTTTTTTTTCCAGTTTGGAGCTGTTATAAAAATTCTTACATATGTCTTTTAGTGAATAAATGTACATTTTTTTTTGTTGAGAACATGCCTAGGAGTGGAATTATGTCACAGAATACGCATATGTTCAGCTTTAGTAGATACCGCCAGACAGTTTCCCAAAGTAGTTGGGCTAGTTTACCTTCTCACCAGCAGTGCATGAGAGTTCCAGTTTCTCCACACCCCGGCCAACACTTGGTTTTGTCAGAGTTCATTGTAGCCATTCTGACGAGCTTGTGGTCCTGTTGCTTTGTGGTTTTAATTTGCATTTCTTTGACAACAAAAGTGCTTCCCATTTTCCTTTATTGTTTCTCTTATTGATTTGTGGGAGCTCTTTATATATTCCTTGTAAATATGTATGTTTGCAAATATCGCTGTGGGTTGCCTTTTTCTTTTAAATAGTGTCTTGTAATGAATAGAAGTTCTAAATTTTAACGTAGTCTAATTTATCAATGAATATCTTTATATTTTAAATCATTTTCATGCTGCATTTAGTTCTCTAAAACCTTAGGGGTAGAATACACAAATATATACAGTAGTAAAACATAAGTAAAAAATGAAAAGCCTAAGAAATATAAACTAGAAGGTTTAGCCAGGGAGTTAAGACATACAAATAAGCCATATGATTCTATGAACATGTTATAATTGAGCAATAAATTTTACTTAGAGCTTCTTAGAAGTCAAAACTCAAATGGAAACATATTCCATTATCCGGTTCTCATTATCTGTGAGCTGCTCAGACAGTGTTGTGAGGTTGGAAGCAGACAGTTAAGGGATGGGCAGGCTGTGAGGTGTATTCACATGTAACTGAGAGTTTACATATCAGAGAGCTAACAGGTATTTCTTATGTTACAGGTTATTCAACGATAGTTATGACCTCCCGGTTACGTGCGTTGGGTGGAAGAATTAATAACATACGCACCTCAGAATTACCCAAAGAGAAAACACGATCCGAAGTCATCTGTAGCGTCTGCTTTTTAGATGGCTTGGTACAGACCTTTAAAGTTAACGTAAGTTCTCCAAATTTAATTTTTTCTGAATTCTCCCAAGAAATAGTTTTCATTTCTTGCTTTATAAAATGAAGAAAAAAAGTATTGTAAAATGAAAGCTTGAAATCTCAGATCTTGTATGTCGAGATTGGGCTGGAAATACCCTTCAACACTTTGTCCACATTTTTGCCTCCACCTGTGGTATCTTCCCCTCTTCTTGGTGACGTGAGCTGAACGACTTTTAGGCGTTCCTTCTGTGATGTCTTCATCAACTTCCTGAGCTGGTTCTCCAATAATGGTGCCCTAGGCTTTATTGGAGCCTGTGTCACATTGCATTAATAATAGTTGTAATTATTAGGTTATATGTTGCTCTCTAAACTGTGAGCTCCTGGAGGACAGGAAAGGTGCCAGGCACACAGCAGGTGCTCATTAAATGCGTGAGTGGATGGGTCCAATCTGGAGGGCAGTGAGGCGGTCTGCCTCACAGATGGCAGGGTTCGGGGAGGGGCTGGCTTCTCCCACTTCAAGCCCCTGGCAGAGGCAGGGGTAGAAACGGGGTCTCCCATCTCAGGCCAGCAGTAAGACGCTTGGACAGTAGCGGTCCCTGCCGCCCTCCCCAGCCCGGGCACCACCCAGGCCCGTGACCTTTGCCTGCCTCTCCCCACCTCGGGCCAGTCCTAAAGGATCAACCCCATCCCTGGACTGGCTGTCAGCATCTGCCCCAGCCTGGAAAGTTCAGTGTGCCAGGAAAGGTGTCAGAGAAAGGGAGAGGAGAACAACTGGGGGTGATAAAAGGCCACAGGAATTTGAAGGGTGGCAGACACTGAGCCCCGGGTCCTCCACACCACCTGTAGGTTTGCCTTCTGCCGACCCCATGTCACTATGGACCTTGAGGGCTGAGCAGGCAAGAGGAGAGGGTGGTGTGTGTGAAGTCACAGCACAGTACATGCTCTGCAGAGGTCACAGATGTCTCTTCCAGATGCTGTGAACTGATCGCTTAGTTTATATCTGGCTCCTTTGTTAAAATTTCTGTTGTCAGTCTCAGAGCTATTCCTCTGCTGTATAGCTTCTTCCTGACAAGAACATGATGTTTCTTCAGCAAATGCTGACTGATCACCTACTATGTGCCAGGCTTTCTTCTGGGTACAGAGAATCCAGCAGTTAACAAACAGAGCAAAGTCCCTGCGCTTTTAAAGCTCACATCCTAGCACCATAAACAAATGGATATTATGTCAGGTGGTATTATGTGTTCAGAAGAAAAGTAAAGGGGGATAAGGAGGATAGTGAGTGCCAGGGCAGGACAAGGGTTGGGGTTGTCATTTTATACAAATGATCAGGGAAGACGTCACCTAAAGAAAGTGAGGGAAAAAAACCCTGTGGTTCCCTGGAGGAAGCACATTCCAGATAGAAGAAACAGCAGTGCAAAGGCCCTGAGGCAGGATCCCGGTTAGTGTGTGGCAGAACAGTATGGAAGCCAGTGTGACTGGGGTGGAATGAGCAAGGGAGAGAGCAGCAAGGGAGAAGGTCAGAGAGATAACAGATATTGGGATGGGGGACTGTGTAGAGCCTGGTAGGTCATCCTGAGGGTACTGGCTTTATTCTGAGTAAGGCAGAAAGCATTGGTAGGGTTGGGTGGAGACCTGACGTGATGGGACTTGAGTATCAGTCTGGATGCTCTGTCGCCAGTAGACTCGAGGTGGGGGTGGCAAGGGCTACGAGACTGTTACAACAGCCGGGGGAGAGGAGGAGGATCATTGGACAGGGTGGTGGCATGGACGTGGCTAGGAGTAACCAAGTCTGGGAATATTTAAAGTGGAGCCACTGGGATTTGCCGATAGATGGGATTTGGGATGTGAAAGAGGCCTCATGGTGACTCCCAAGGTTTTTGGCCCAAGCAGCCGGCAAGATGGAGTTGCAGTGTGTAGAGATGGGAAGGGCTTCGAGAGGAGCAGGTCTGGGGCGGAAGTAGCCGGTTCTGTTCTGGACACGTTGAGGTTGAGATGCCTGTCACTCATCTACGTAGCAATGGTAGTAGGTATGCAAATGAGGAGTTTAAGGGAAGGGTCTAGGCTGGGATACAAGTGTGGGTGCTCCCAGGGTAGAGGTGGTGTTTCAAGCTGTGAAGTTGGATGAGATCGCCTGAGAAGCGAGTAGACAGAAGATATGGACGACGTTCCATGTGTAAAGGTTGGAGAGATGAGAAACCAGCACTAAAGGAGATGGAAGGACTGTCCTGGGAGGTCGGAGGGGAGACCAAGAGCGATGAGCCCTGTGCACGGGGATGAGGAAAGTGCCAGGCCAGAGGGATAATCCTATGATGCCTGAGAACAGAGCCTGGCATACAGCCCGCGCCCAGTCAGCCTGGGTTATAAACATCGTTATCATCATCGAGCTGCTGCCAGCGCTGCTCCCCAAGCTTCCGGCTGCCTGGTCAAAGCTGGCTCACACTGAACTTGAATTTGAGGGCCTAGTGGCCCCTCAGAATCTCCATCGCTTTATATGTTGCTGCTCGGGGGCGTTGTTTGCGCAGTCTCATTCAGACTCTTCAGCCCGGGCCGTCTTATGACAGGAGCAGGCATCTTCAGGGAAGGTGACCTGAACTTCATTTGTTCTTAGCCCAGCCCAGGGAGCAAGCCAGTCACTGACAGGGAGCTGGTGTAGCCAAGATGACCTCCTGTGGGGTGGGGGCTGGGCTGGGAGGCCTGTTGTTATTATAAATGCCTTTTATTATATTTCATTTCCTTCTGAGAACTGGATGAATTGTGCAGAATAGATGCTGGAACGGATGAATTATGCACTCCAGAGGAGGGAGGTCCAGTGTACTGGGAACCTGCAGGCTCTGGCATCAAACAGGCCTGAGTCAGGCAGTCAGACCGTCCATCGGCTGACAGCACGAGGCACGGAGCCTCCAGGGGCCTCTCATACAAAACCACAAATAATAGTTTCAACAAGGGGAGCAGATAGCTCTTTGACGCATCAAGAGAATATCTCATAACTTAGGGGGAGATATCTCATAAGTTGGACTGTGTGGACCGGGTCATCTTTTCCACACTGTCATGATTCCCTTGTGATGGAAGGTGTCCTGGCTAGACGAAGCAGGGCCCTGGGACAGGAAAGGGGGGATGTGTTTAGGAAATGGGCGTGTCTCGTGTTCCCACACTTCAGACCAAATAATGAGACCATGCGGAAGAAGTGGCTGCAGGAGGGGGCCTGACGGTTACCTAATTTTCTTCCTCCTGGTCACTGTGACCTATTTTCTGCTCTCAGGCACTCAAAAAAAAACCCAGATGTCTATACATGGTCTATTTCTGACTCATATTATCCTTAAGTGAAATGGTTTGGTTCAAAGGATTCCTGAGAAGTCTGCCTGTTAAAGTAGAATTTGCGCCTGCACCATGCTGTTTCCGCCCTTGGTGCCTTTGTGCTGGGCCCTCTGCATGAAATGCCTTTTCTTAGCTCCTGCACCTGGAGGAGAGGGGTGGCACTCAGCCCTGTCACCCTCCCAGACCCAGGCCAGGGTCGCTTCCTCTTGTCCCCAGGTTGAGTTAACCATCTGTCCTCTTGTGTGTTCACTGTGCCCTGAGCGTTTCACGTCACTTGACAGCATTTGACACACCATGTTACAGTCACTGCCTCTGCGGCTGGCCTCTCCAGGAGGGACACTTATTATGGCTCTGTCCCTACACCCAGCACCATGCCTGCTCCATAAACACTGAGCAATGGAGGTGGCTGAGTTCGGCTCTGGACGTGAAGTGTGGCTTTTCACTTCAGATGAGGGGGAGCAGTGCAGCAGATAATCCCCTGGGATGTCACTTGCCAGATCACTCGGAGGGTATTTCGGGTGGTACTGGAGCATTCTTAGCCATCTTCCTTCATGCTGTCAGTGGAGTTTTCTTCTCTGTCCACACTTCCATGGCTCCTGAGGAGCCAACAGATACCGACGTGGGATTAGTGTTCTGCTGTGGGTAATCCATGCGTAGGTCACAGAGAGTTTACTGTAATTGTGATATCTGAGTTTTCCAAGTTAGATGGCATCACTTGGGAATCTCAGCTAAGGGGAAGGAAGAAATCTTAGAAAATTAAATTAAACTCATATTGTCTTAAATCATTTATGTAGTTTTTCTTAGTCCTACTTCCCGTATGTACCATGTGGCTTCTTAACTTGAAATTTATGAAAGCATTTATTGCGGGGTATGTGTTTGCATAAAATCTCTCTGAATGTTTTAACTCTTTTTTTGCCTGCATAAAGACTTTTAACCACCAGTTCTTAGTTCGTTTTAAAGTTTTGCCCACTTGACACTTTTTTTTTTTCTAGAAACAAGACACTGGTCAGGTTCTTCTGGATATGGTATACAACCACTTGGGCGTGACCGAAAAGGAATATTTTGGTTTGCAGCATGGCGATGACTCGGTGGAATCTCCCGTGAGTAGCAGTCCCTTTAAGACGCCCTGGACTGCTGCACGGTCTGGTTTTATATCTTATGTTCTCTTACCCAACAGAGATGGCTGGAATCGAGCAAACCCATCAGGAAGCAGTTAAAAGGTGGGTGTCATCTTCTCATTTCAGTGGAACACTAGGTGTTAGTGTGTCATGGCCTGTTTCTCTCCTCTATTCATCATTGTGGCTGTAACATCAGCCACCTGGGTTCCAGGTGCTCCAGAAGACAGGAGTGAACCCACTCCTCCCTGTCTGACTTCTGAGCAAGCAGAGATGCTTCCAGTTCAGCCCCCGAGGGTCCTCATCAGCTGTGAGCAAGAAAGGGACAGGTGAACGCAGGCAGCCAAGAGCCAGGGATCCCACTTCCTTTTACAAGAAGAAGAGAATGGCCTTTCCTAGCCCGGTGTGAGAGCCAGGGCGGGAAAGAGACAAACACACACACCCCTAGGACTTTCCAATAGCACAGTTCCATTCACTGGAAACAAGGCTTAGGTCGGTGATGTCACAAACATAACATACAGCTGGTCGACTGTGAGTGGGTCCCAGTGCTGTAGGTTAACTCCCAGTTAGGTGGGCTTTCAAGCCACGCCTCACCCCACCCTCTGCCCAATCTGTTCTCAGCTTGGTTTTCCAAGATCACACTCTCTGTTCCCCTCTGTGCACCTTATGCACCAGACAAACCTGGCTGACCTGCTGGGCCATGCATACTCCTCTGTGCCTTCCCTCAGTCTCTTCCCTCTGTTGGGAATGCTTTTCCCTCCTGTTTCCCTGTATCCAAATCTTGCTGTTCTTCAAAGCTGCTCAGATCCCATCTCCTTCCCTGTTATTAGCCATGACCCCGTCTACCCTCCCTCACATTTATCATTGTCTGCCTCATACCTCAGAACACTCTCCTTCATCTCATGGTTATCTGCCTTTATCTTCCTTGCAAAACTGCAAGCTCCTTGAGATGAGGGCCCTTGTCACAGCCTCTCTGCATTCCTCGCAGTGCCCCCCACACAGGAGGTGGCCAGTGAATGGTTGAGGGGTGAAGGGCTGGTGGATTTGTGCACTTAAGTGTGCACACACATGTGCCACATCCTCCCACCCACCCCAGCACTCAGATGGGAAGGAGTGGAGATAAGCAGCCACGGCTCTGATCCCACTGCTGCTCTCACGTGGGGCCAGGGCCTCAGAGTCCTTACCTCCCAAGAGTTGTGTCCTTAGTATTCAGAAGTACCCCCGGGAGCCACAGAGCCATTGTGCAGATAAATACCGCCCCCATTTGAATTCACAGAGTAACGAATGCACTAAGGCATGGCTAGGGGTTGGCATTCGTTCTCACTAACTCATTCATTCAGCAAACCTGTCTTGAGCTCAGACTTTGGCAAGGCACTGGGCTAAGCTCTGGGAATCTGGTCCAAGTCAGATTTGGACCCTGCCCTCAAAGAGCTCATAGCCAAGTGTGGAGACATAGACAAGGGGAGACACCATTTTAGGATAGTCCTGAGCACGCGATAGGTACACAGAGGAGGACGAGAAAGGCAAGGAGGCATGCCTGAGACACAGAGTGACAAGTTATGGGTGGGGGGGGAGCTGAAAGGGCACGCCAAGGCAGGGGGAGGACTTGGCTATCCCCTGATGTGCAGGGTGTCAGCCTGCACCCAGAGTTACGGCGCCAACCACTGGTACCCAGGCGCCTGTACAGAGGTACATTTGAAGGTGCACGTGCAACATTGAAGTTTTTGACAGAAGGCAGAGATAAAGACAGAAGATACTAAAAAGCAGGGAGGTTGGAGCCCAGGATGAGCTGAGGTCAAGGAGGAGATGAGTCGCAGGACCAGTGAGGGGAGCAGGGTGGAGAAGGCTTGAGTTCCAGAGAGCAAGAAAGTGCCGAGCACATAGATGGGGCCGGTGGATATCTACTGAGTGATGGAGAGGGGTGACATTGACATGAGGAAGAGCATGGGGTCTTAGCAACACAATTGTATCTCCTGTTGCCATATCTAGCAAAAGAAATGGGCTCATTTTATCCATACCAGCGAATTGACTCTCAGCGTTGTTGCATAAAGCCATATTGGAGTATGTTAATTGTGTAATATTTGCTAGTATATTAATCACTTTTGGAATTCACTCTGCATTAAAAGCATTAAATATTTTCCAGTATAAAAATGATTTTGAAATGTGGTATGGCAGAATCAAAAACCTCAGTGCTGTATTTCTGGTTTTGTCATCAGCTGTGTGACCTAAGTCTAGTCACTCATATCTCTAAGCCTGTTGGCTTATCGTAAAACTGTGCTATCACTAGCAGCCTAGCCTACTCATAATCATGGCGGTGTTTAAATTCAAGAATGTACGTGAAAATGTTTTAAAAGTATAAAATCGCTATGGGTGGGATATTATTTCTTTGTGAATTTTGTATAATCTGCTGATTTAAGGATTTTTTAAAATTCCTAATACAAATAGTGGAGTGCATTGTTTGAGCACAGCCCTAAGTTAAACATGTAATAATCAGACAATACTTCATTCTGTGATGTTGCAAAAATATTTTACTTCTTGTAGACGTGGAGATTTCTGAACAATCGATTAACTTCTGCACTCCTTAGAAATTAGTCCTTTTACTGGTGGAAATCGCTGTGGTCTAGTGAAAAATGTGTCACTTATGGGAGAGTAGCAGCTTACATGCTTTGACTTTTTTAAAGGGAAAATTTAATTTGTTTTTGAAAAATGTTGTAGGAGGTTTCCCCTGTACCCTGCATTTTCGAGTAAGATTTTTTATACCTGATCCCAACACACTGCAGCAAGAACAAACCAGGTAATAACGTTTTTTAAAGTTTTCTATTTAGTATATAAAAATAAGTAACTGCTAAAAATGTACTCTTTATTTGATCACTGTGGCCAAATGCTTCATCTGGGTATAACCGCACCAACAGTTATGATCCAAGTAAAAATTGGGGGTACACATTGAAATTTTAATTGGCTAATTAGTTTTCAGTCTTGGGACTCCACCTCTCGCCTCCTGACTTGGTGCAGTTCCCGGCATGCTCCCATCCACCTCCTCCTACCTCCCCACCGCCCTGGCCTCTCTGCCTGTTGAGCACCTGTGCTCAAAGAACACGGTTGTTTTCTTCAAATGAACACAGGCAGGGTTTGGAAGACGAGTTTGTAAAACAGTCACCTACAGATCAAATGGCACGCTATCTCTGAAGGGCTAGAATTGAGGCTCTTTGGAATGACAAGAGGTCTCTGAACTGAGAATTCTCTATCAGATCCCCAGCTGGTAGGCGCTAGAAAGGAGACTGAGCTGAGCCAGCTTCTCGCCTGGGTGAATCAGCAGGTGCAGGCAATGTGTGAACCACTAAGGGGGAGAAGGCTGTGATAGGAGCTGTGTACCCCCCCAGGCCTTGGCGGCGCTCCTGGTCCTGGTTTTGTGCTGACACCTGGGCTTTCTGGGTGGGGCACAGTGTTTGGAATGGAGAGGGCGGGCACAGGAAAGTTGCTGCTGCTTGAACAGGGGCTGTGCAAACTCACCAATGCCTCTACTTCCCCTCTCCCATGGCAACGTTAAGCCTTTTTATTATTGATTCGTTTATTTTTCTTAGGGAGGGAAACCCTTCCACCAGAAAAAAGCAATGGGTGTTCAGAAATATTGAATCCTATTCTGTGCTCATTGTGGCCATGAGACCCTCTGATACCAAAGAGGTGACATTAACTCAGATATAGAGTGCTGCTTGTTTTTTCCTTTTTTTAAATGGTAATCACGTGATCACATTTTAATATGTTTAAAGGACAAATATTAGTCTATTACTCGGCTTTGCCTCCTTTGTGCACCTCTTCCCTCTGCAACAGCAGACATCGGAGATTTGACCGTGTTTACCATTAAGTTAGATTTTAAGCCAGTGTAAGAGATGCCCGGCATGACTCATTGAGTAAGCACGGGAAGTACACAAAGTGCCTTGAGTTCTCCCCATAATGGCTCTTTCCGCCAGTGGACTAAGGGGCAGTGAAGGAACGCTCAACCTGGCAGGTCAGTTCATAGGCCGGTGGACACAAAGTGGTGACATAGTCTATCAGAATGTATCTGAAATGACCCCTCCTAGGTTTCCCCAGCCCCTTACTGAATATCAAGTTCTGTTCAAGGGATGCTTTAAAAATGTCCTGAGGGATTATATATATGTATGTATATACGTGTATACATGTGTGGTTTTAACCAGTGGGTTTTTTTTAATCACAAACCACAGTAAAAATATATTTTGGGGGCTGGCTCGGTGGCATAGTGGTTAAGTTCACGTGCTCTGCTTTGGCGGCCCAGGGATCGCGGGTTTGGATCCTGGGCGCAGACCTACGCACTGCTTATCAAGCCGTGCTGTGGCGGCGTCCCACATATAAAGTAGAGGAAGATGGGCACGATGTTAGCCCAGGGCCAGTCTTCCCCAGCAAAAAGAGGAGGATTGGCAACAGATGTTAGCTCAGGGCTGATCTTCCTCACACACACAAAAATATATATATAAATATATATATATATATATATATATTGCTTTATAACACAGTGCACATATATATACATTACTGAAGCAAACGTATCACAAAACAATAGTAAGTCTAAAGCATTCTGAAGTTTTCTGTTTTGTTCTCTTTCCTTTTAAAATGCCAGTTGTGGCCCTCTGAATTGATTTTACTACCAGCTGATGGGTTCCAATCGCGAGTGTGAACTACGCTACCTAAACTAATGATTGTCACCGATCGCCCTGTCTCCTCCCCGTGATGCTGGGCCACAGGTTGTGGCTCTCCAAAGAGAGAACTTGAGGGAAGAGGGTGTGGGGCTGGCCTAATCCAGAAGGCCCTCTCTGGTGCCCCACTGGGTCATTGGGCATCCACTTCCATATCCCATGGGAAGGAAGCCCACTCCCTCAGGGAGCTGACAGAGTCTTCCTCTTGAGCCTCCCTGTCATTTGAAGGACATCTGAGGAAATGTAGGGCATTCAGGATAGGGAGGAACTGAGGCTGCCTTCAGATCTGCAGAGAGTTGTCATGGAAAGGGGGAATTAGATGTGCTTGGTAATAGAATTATGGCCAGTGGGTGGATGCTACAGAGAAGCAGATTTGGGCTCAAGATGAGTAATAGACTAATTTTTGTTCTTTCCCAAGTCCCAGATAAAATTCGGTTTTCCTGTGTCCTTCCTAAAATTCACTGGTTCAGATTTCTCTTAATGCAGCAGAAGCCATGGCAGCAGCCACCCCTGTGGCTCCTGTAGGGCTGGTAGGCAACTAGGACCACCAGATCCTTTTCTTATGCTGGGCCAGGCTTCCACCATTACTTCACATGTCTTTTTTTTTCTAATTTAGAGTTTTACCTGTATTCCTGGCACATAGTGTCTTATTATGCCCCAGCTCTGTAGTCTATCCAAAAGTAATTCCTTTTTAAAGAAATTGAGCTCTTAAGAGTCAAAGAAGGAGTATAGAAGTGGTGTTTGTTGTTTTCTAAAGATCTAGGGAGGGAGGCATTCATTGCTTTTTTCTGAAGTTGAGGTCATGGATGGGGTACACCCCAGGAGCGATCATTCCATTTCTAAAGTCAGGCATGCCAAGCATCTCTTCTAAGTGACTTTCCTTTATTCTGATTGTTAAATAAATGCTTCCTTGAATGTGAGCTTCCACGGCTGCTGTTTCTGATAAATTTAGATCATTCTAAACAGAATTTCATTTACTGGCAGTCTCAAAATTAGGCTCCTTCAGGATTCCTAGGAGGTCTCCTAAGTTTGGGTCTCATCCCACTATTCCCATCTCTTTGTGTATGATGTCATGGGTTGACTCAAGCTTTGCTGAATATATGACAAGGTAGCATTTGACAAATGGTCATCTCCAAGTTCATGGTCGCATTTACATCCCTAGGAAGATCCACCGATTAGCTGGGCTCATCAGAAAGCCCAGGTGAACCACTGGATTATCTATAATTCTCTCCCTTCTCTTCCTCTTGGTAGCATTGTAGGAGGAGAGAACACTTAATGCTGGTTGAATGTCAGCTTGGATAAACATAGAAACTAGAAAGGACTGATTGTGTTCCCTTAGGTGGAAGAGATGGAGATTCCAACATGGAATAAGCATGAATCAGCAAACATATGTTATACCGTCTCTCAGTGAAGGTGTTCAACACGTTAAGGGTAGTTGATTATAATTATAGTCAAAGTAATAATATCAGAGTTAGGAAATTGATCCTAAGCCTTTTAGTCATTAGACGCATGAGAGACTTTTAGCATAGTCAGATTTCTTTCATAGCCCGAGTGTCCATAAAATACAACATAACTGACCCCACATCTGAACGTCAGTTTCCTTATCTGTAAAAAAAAGAAAAAAAAAAGGAGGGAGTGGTGCCTACCTCCTCAAGTTTTTCTGAGGTTGAAATGAGGTGATAAGTTATGAAGTACTACGCACACAGCCCAGGACTGTGCAAATAGGAGGCTGTAGTACCACGTGAAGCATTCCCCTCTCAAAACACCAGCGCCTTGACCTTTCAGCGTGCAAATTTGAAGGCATAATGAGACTGACTTGTTTAAATTGCCAAAATTATCTCACTCCTGCCCCTGAACACTTCTGCCGTGTCTGTATTATATTTCAAGAAGTTTCCCTTTTGTCATCTTGGCCAGAAACTGGAATGTCTATCTCATTTGAATCCAGGCTTTAATAAAGAGTGGGAGCCAGCAGCCAAGTGTCACATGTATGCCGCAGCCCTAAATATAAAGCTCTCTAGGGCCCTTCCTGGCCCGCACAGCGCTGTTGATGCCTTCTCTTCCCCACTCGCTGGATTGAGGGGTGGACTCACAGCATGAGGGGCCTGTGACGACTTACTGAGCTCTGCCTACAAATCAGGTCCTGGGTTTTGAAGTGACGTTGCTGATGGCTCGCAGACAAGTGCAGGATTCAGCTTGGAGGGCCTGGCAGCCTATAGTGGACTGATGTTTATACTTTTGCTCGAGCCCCCGCAGTTCCTGGGACACAGGAAAAATCCCAGCTGGCTGTTTGCGCCCCAGCCAAGGAGGTGTCTTCACAGACCCTCCTCTCAACAGCTTCATGCAGAGGGAACGTGGGTGTGGAAATGCCGTGTTCAGAACAGCGTCCCCTCCGTGTGTGGGGGCTGCCTGTGCAGAATGCCTTTGGGTCCTGGTGCTCTCAGAAATCCCAAGTTTGATTGGGAAGGTTGGGGCTGAGGGTGGGGTGCTCACTGGCAGCGGTACCAGCAATTGTTGGCGGCCTCTTCCACCCTGTCCATCCCTGCTCGGCCATCCCTAGGACAGCATGTGCTGGCCTGAGGCTGGCTGGACACCGCCCCCACCAATCGAGATGGAAGCAGCCGTATAAGCCATTGTTACTGAAGGGGCAGCTTTGCAATGTGCAACATAGCACCTGATGCTTTAGACAAAAATATGTTTCTATATATTTTGTTGTTCAAATGTACAGGTCTTATCCTTGACTCATCAGATTTTGTTTTGCTTATTTCAATTTGAGTATTATAAATTAATGAAAACAATTGTTTCATAGGCATTTGTATTTCTTACAACTGAAGATGGATATTTGTGAAGGAAGGTAATGAGAATTTTGCGTTCTTCTTTTCCTGTCAGTTGCCAGACTACTGAAATTCCTGGTTTTAATCTAATGAACGTGCATTTCTGGTAACAATATGAAATGCAAACAAAGAATGGATGTTGAAAGCAGCATCCTGTATGGCGTTATGCTCTGGACATCTATTTTTAGCTTGGTCTTGATTTAGAGAAGCTAAGGATTGATAAACTTCATTTCATGTCGCTTCAATTTTATTACAAAAGGTACTGTTATCTTTCTGGTAAAGACCTGAGAAATTTTAAAGGCAAGGGGAGACCCAGAATGAAAAACAGGCTTCATTCAGGAAGGCAGATCAGGCCTAATTTAGGTCTACTTCCGAGACCCTTAGTACCTACAGATGATTCATTTTCTCTCTGGGAAACTTTTTTTGTTCAAAAACGTGAGCGTCTGCTCATGATTCAGCACTTCTTGTGTGTCAGGACCATCTCAGGATTTACTTAGCTGGTAAGTATCTGAGAATAGCCCAGGAGGGGAGAAGAAATTCCGAGACAATGTCCCTGGACTACTTTCTCCAAATCCTGAGTTTTTCTCGACTTGCAGGAGAAATGGCAGCAGAAATGGTAGAAACAGCCACGTCTTATTCCTGTTCTCCTCACCCTCTCTTTCCTCCTGTCAGGTTAGTTCTACTGAGGAGGGTCTTCAGAAGCCTCCGGTGAGCTTCCACGAGAGAGCTTGTGGTCTGGTGGGGGCAGTGAGACAGGAGCCCACGAAGCAATTGGGACCAATATGGGCAGTGGAGACGACAGTTGTCATAAGGTTTTAAGAGAAGGAGATGGCATTGTGGACTGGAAAAGTCTGTGTGGATTGCTGTGATGAGCCAGGATTGGGGTTGGTAGAGAAGTGGGGTGTTGCATCCCCCCGGGCAGTGAGAAGGCACCCTGCCCCACCCCCAGCAGTCCCAACTGGAAACCATGTGTTGGTGACTTACAAGAAAATACAGAGAGGGCTCTTCATGTCCAACTTAGACGTGCGACTTGCACCCGGCGGGCAGAGGAGAGCTGTTGAAGGTTTTAAGCAGGAGGGGTTTGGCATGAGCAGCATCTACAAAGATAGTGTCTGTGGATGGAAGGGAATGCTGGAGAGGCTGCGGGGCTTCAGTCTCGACGGAAGGGAAGGTGCAGCCCTTGAGGAAGCTGTTGTTGGCGTCCCGGCCAGAGATGTGGGGACACAGCAGTGAAGGTGGGGGTGAGGGGGAGGAGGAGCAGTTAGGAACAAGAGACATGAAGAAAGAGTGGCCAGAACCTGTTGACTGTTTAGCGGTCATAGAATTAGAGAATGTTTGCAATTTAGCTCATCCTCTTCCTCAAGGGAGGAAGGAATCCCTTCTCTAGCACAACTTACAGGCCTTGGGTCTCTGCTCGAGCACACCGAGTACTGGGGAGCTCACTCTTGCATGAGGCGCCCGTCTTACATTTCAGGGTGACTCTAAGTTGAAATGACCCCTCCTCCCCTGGGTCCAGGCTGCCCTCTGCAGCAATAGAAACTTGTTCTCGCTTCTACACACTCATTTGTTTTTCCCACAAATATTTTTTTTTATTGATGTTTTAATAGTTTGTAACATGGTGAAGTTTTTGGTTGTACATTTTTGTTTGTCCATCACTGTATACATGTCTCCCTTCACCCCTTGTGCCCACCCCCTGCCCCCATTGCCCCTGCTAACCACAATACAGTTTTTTTCTGTCCATATGTTGGTTTATATTCCACATATGAGTGAGATCATATGGTGTTTGTCTTTCTCTTTCTGGCTTATTTCACTTAACATAATACCCTCCAGGTCCATCCACGTTGTTGCAAATGGGACAATGTTGTCTTTTTTATGGCTGAGTAGTATTCCATTGTATATATATACCACATCTTCTTGATCCAATCATCAGTCGAGGGACACTTGGGTTGTTTGCACTTCTTGGCTATAGTGAATAATGCTGCAGTGAACACAGGGGTGCATAAGCCTCTTTGGATTGTTGATTTCAGGTTCGTTGGATAGATTCCCAGTAGTTTCCCACAAATATTTTGCAAGCACTTGTTAGGAGGCAGACTCTGCTGTGCTGGTCAAATAAGGCAAGGCCCATGCCCCTCGGGAGCTTTCAGCTTGGCTCTCCAAATACTAGGAATTAGTCGTCTTCATTTTTTCTTGTCCAAACAAAATACCCTTTGTTAGTTTTGTGTGAATCAATAGAAATCTGTTGAGGGCCACAGATTTCCTGGCTTAAATTCCCGGCATCGTTGTGAGGTGCATCCTGCAGGCAGCCCTCACCACCTCTCTGAGGAGAAGGCCTCCCCTCCAAATGCTTCTCGGGTGTGTGTCAGGGCGGCTGTGGCCCATTGTAGCCGTGGATCTCTTGACAGACTAGGTGGATCTAGTTAGCGTTTCTCCTGGGTGTTGAATCGTGCCCTGACTTGTCTGAACTGTCAGTGGTAGGCAGCACCCAAGACATTGTCCCCTTCCTGCTGCGATAGGTGATCTTGTCCACCAGAGGGAGACCCTACAGCCGGGGCAGAAAGAAAGGGGTCTCTCCAGGAGCACATAGCACGATGCGGGCATTCAGCGTTCCTTAGTTTGCATTTATACTAGTCTTTGAAAATGTTTTTCTTTCTGACTTATTCACAGGACTGTTTCTTCTGTCTAGACTGAACCCCCTTAGCCTCTCTCCTAAGTTGTTCCCCAAATCCTATTCACCTGCTCTCCCTGTTGTGAGGACACTGGCTTAGATTTCCCTGAGGCCTGTCTTGGTAGGAGAGTGAAGGGCTGATGTTGGCTGTCTCCATGGACTCTTGGGGTCTCCAGATGAACAAATAGATGGTGAATATCCCTGGACGTGTCTCCAGACTTGGAGAGAGCATTTGGAAGTCCTAGCAAGAATACATGCTTACTTGAGGAAAGTTGAGGCCCCTCAGATAGGCTGCCTTCATATGCAGCTTCAGGACGAGCACACAGCGTGGCAGACAAGAAGGGTAACCCCTGGCGGGCCAAGCAGATTAGTCAGAGAGATTGGGGTGACTCACATCTTGGGAACTTCATGGGCTGCCATGGAAACTGCATGTCTTCTCCACTTCCCACAGGGTTGCTGGGAAGAATGCTTTTAAAATCAGTGTCTCCCCGCCCTGGAAGCCCTCACTCCTGCTGCTGCTTCTCAGCCCTTTCCAATGCATCCCTCCACTCGGCGGTGGTCCCTGCTCCAGGGCTGCTGGCCGAGCTCCTAGGCAGACCGTGGAATCCCGAGTTGCGTGGGGAAAAGGGAGCAACCAGAGGATTTGAAATATGACTAAGACAGATGGAGTCATGGGCAAAAATGGGATGTTGGGGAGGGCAGTGAGCTTGAGAAGAAAGAAAAGCAAGTCTAACCTCTTGAGCCCATGGATTTCTAGTGGATGGAGGAAAACTGAGAGGTGGACAGACCATTCCCTGTAGATCAGAAGCTTCAGGAGGGTGAATAGATTTAAGGATCTTAAGTAATTCTAACTAAGTAATTTAAAACTCACAGGAGTTTTAAAATTCAAAATAGTTTTCTATTTTTTCCTTCTAAGAGGATGTCACCCTTCTAGAAAGTGGGTAATCAAGAATCACAGTCAGTAGAACTCAGGGATTTAGAGAGCCCTACGAAAAGTCTCACGTCTTTACTAGAAAGATACCAAGGCTGCCCATGGAACGAAGAGTACAGTTTTCTCACTTTTCCTGTTAGTGATATGAGCCTGGCCTTTCTTGACCAGCCAAAACCCTGGCCAACTTGAGACCTTCATGGTATTTGTATTAAGGTATATTATTTTAAACATGAAAAAGTTTTCTTTCAATTTTTAAAAATCTTTAGTGTTATCTTTACTATGTGAGATTGAGTTGTATCATAAAATTGTCTTTGTTATGATTCATGATGTTTTCTGGTTAATCTAAGAAAAGACAGGTGTTTGCCTGATTGATGAGTGTTTCACGCCGTTGCTGGTTCTTGTGACCTTCCTAATATGTGTTTCTCCTGACAGGTTAACCTGCCCTCTTAACTCAACAGTGGTCCTAGCGTCCTACGCAGTACAATGTAAGTCACAAAGGGAGCGTTTCACGGATGGATAGAGTGTTCTGAACAGTGTATTAAGAAAGTCACTGGCCTCTCCTGTTTGACCGAGTCCCTTCCCCTCCTCCCAGGAATCCTGTTGGGCAAGCATATCTCTGGTTGTAGGGGTAGTCCCACTTTTACCCTGATGTACACTCTCCTTCAGCTCAGGGATATTGGATTAAGGAAGGTGGTAAAGGGGAAAAGAGTGGATGAGCTGTGGTGTGGGGTTTTCTCCCAGGGGAGCCCATAAAACAGAAGACACCCATCGCACACTACATCTTCCAGAAGCTTTGCTCACGTATTGAATGTAGTCTCCATAACAAACCCCAGTGGAGCAAATATTGCTACCAGTCGCCTCTTACAGACGTGGAAACCCAGACCCAGCTAGGTTAAGGAATTGCCTGGAGGTCACTTCAGCTACTTAGGATATCTTAGGAATTTATTTTTAGAGTTTCACTAGAGCTAATGGGTTACATATTAGTCTATAGCAGCACTATCCAATAGAAATGTGAACCACATATAAAATTTTAAATTTTCTAGTAGCCATATTAAAAAATTAAAGCAGGTGAGATTAGTTTTAATATATTTTATTTAACCCAGTATATCCAAAATATTATCATTTTAGTATGTAATCAATATAAAAAATTAATGAGATATTTTATAGTCTTTTTTTCATGTTAAGTCTTTGAAAACCAGTCCATATTTTACATTTACAGCAAATCTCAGTTTGGACTAGCCACATTTCAGGCGCTCAGTAGCCACACGTGGCTAGCGTCTGCCATATTGGTTAGAAAGTCCAGGTGGCATTTTCCATCAAGGCCCGTTTAAGCTGGAGTAAGAATCCACTCATTCAGTCAGCAAACTTTCCTAAGCGTATATTCCACATCAGGCCCTTTGGTAGCGGCTGGGTGTGCACAGTGAAAAGGGTGGGTAGCTAGATGGAAGGCAAAGGATCACTTTATAATTAGTTAGCTGTGTGGTGCCAGTCCAGTACACCACGTGGAACTTGTACAGAGCTGTGTGGTAGCTCAAAACTTAAGAAGGCCCTCCTACCTTCTCATTGGCCTGTTACCCTCTTGGCTGACCGCGTGGCAGAGAGTTAAGAGAGCAGGATGGTCGGGTCTCAAAACAGGCTGAACTAGTCACTCTACTCTGATCTCAGAAGAGGCAAAATAGCAAGAGAAGGCTGACAGGGACTCCTGAGGTGGCCTTAAGTCTGCCTACTTCCCTAGCAGCAAAGAACAAAAAAGAGAACAATGAAGAACAAGGTGGCTGGGCCTGCAGCTTACCTGCCCACCTGTGAGATACCAGGAGGTGAAGGACAGACTTTTAACAGGGACCCTCCTCACTAGTAAGACAAGACCCAGCATTGGTCTCCCCCGATAGCCTGCATCTCCTTCCTCCAGTGGGATGCTCAGAAGGGGTTGTATGGTGGTGAGCCTGGGTAGATTGGAAAGTTCCCATCTCTCTGCAATACATCTAGAATAGACCTGGCCATGTTGCATCCATGTGGGAAATGGCACAGTCACCAGCCAGCCTGTATTCTTACTGATCTCTAGACCTTGTGGACTCTGTCCTGGCCAGGCTGATCAGCTGAGGAGACCAAGCTTTCCCACATCTCAGAGAAAGTTTGGTGTTCATAGCTAGAGCTTCAGGTCTGAGGGGCAGGAACACTGAGCAGGATGTAGCTTTGGACGCAGTCAGGCTCAATTTAAATCCTGGCTTCTCCATTTGCCACTTATGTGAATCTCAGTTTTCTCACCTGTAAAATGGAAGTGACGATGATTATGACAACTCACAATATGGCTACTTGATTCACATAACACACGTGAAGGTGTTCTGTAACTAGGACCTCGTTATAGTTGGACCATCGCTGTTAGCTGAGTCAGTGAGAGCACAGACTGAAACCATATTACCTGAGTCTTGGCTCTGCCACTTACCCCTGCATGACCTTAAGCCTCTCCCAGCCCCAGCTCATTTGACAAATGGGGATGATAACAGTACCTACTTCATAGGGTTGTAATGAAGGTGAAATGAGTGACTATATGTAAAGCTCTTAGAACAGTGCCTGGCTCGTGGCAAGTGTTAACTCTTAACTGTATTTTCCTGTCTGCCCAGAAGCAAGGTGTCCAAAGTACTGCCTATTATAAACTATTTAGGGTAAGATTTAAGAACCGAATAAAAAAATCCTATTCTAAGCTTCAGGAGTCAAGTTCCCCTCTACAAAGGACTCAGAGAATGAGGGCTGAGGAAAGTTATTAGCACCTAAAAGTGCAAACTTGCTTCAGTGGAAATATCAACATGACTGTCGTGCTAATAATACCCTGGCTTGTCAAGCAAGCCGTTTTAAGTGCAAGTTCTTTATTCCTCCACCCTCGGGAAATATATTTTTTTCCATACTCCTGTGCATGCATTTCTATAAGATTAATTCTTAGATATTACATTGCTGGATCAAAGGGTATGCCTCAATTTTATCTGGTACATTTTGCCAAATTGTCCCAAGAAGGGTGTCTAGTCTGAAGATCAGCCCTACAGTGATCAGCGAATCTGCGAACCAAAGCACATTTTCTTACTAGATAAAAAGTAGAGTGGTCTGTGGGTGAAGTACCTGAAGAGACTTGATGGTAGAAGACTGCTGGTGGCCTGTCAAGGGTGTGTGAGGCTCAAAGAATGAAGTTTTTGGGGCCGGCCTGGTGGCGTAAGCGGTTAAGTGCGCGCGCTCCACTGC